GTTTAGGGTTTCAGGGGTTTAGGCTTTAGGCTTTAGGCTTTACGGTTTAGGGTTGAGCTGGTAGGAGTTTACGGTTTGGGGCTAATTCCTGGTACAGGTTCTGTTTCAGACTTCGGCTGTGCACGTGAACCCTGAGCCCATTGAACCCACGGTGTAGGGTTTAGGGTTTAGGGCTGTAGCGCGAAATCTCTAAACCTGAAATCCTAAACCGAAAACTCAAGCAGATCGCCCGAGACCCACGACCCTGAACCGCGAACCCAAAGCCCCATGAGCCCTGAACCTCAACTCTCAACGGGTTTAACCCTAAACCCTAACCCCTCCATGCACCTAAACCTTGAACTTGAGCCTGCCACTCTAAACAAAGAGGCAGAAGGGTTTAGGGTTTAGGGTTTAGGGGCTTCACAGACGACCGACCGCAGCTAGCATGCTTTTCCTACGAAGAAGAAGCAGGAGAAGCTTGGTAACAGCATTATGAACCATGGTAAACACCATGTTCGTAGCATTGTTCATGGATAACACAAAAAGACAGGACGGCAATCAGAATCACAAGGGCATGAATGATGGCCCCATTTCTCGCTATTGAATACTTAGGTAATATAGGTGCGTCAATAATTACCTATACTATTTTTTTTGGGGGGGGGTCCTGATTATGATTATAGTAGAATGGACCCCAAAAACCTATTCCAATCATTAAGGCCCCTATACTAGCTGGATTCCGAGGCTTGTTGTTTCGACTCTCGAGTCCGGGATGGTGGCGCCTGGATGTTCCCAGACATACCTTGGATCAGGCTTTAGGAACCTCAGAGTTTGGGTTTAGGGTTTAGGGTTCAGGTTTTGGAGTTTAGAGTTTAGGGTCTAGGCTTTAGGGTTTGATTTTAGCGCTTGGAGTTCAGAGCTTAGGGTTTAGGGCTCTCTCTTAGGTACTAAGTTGTGAAGGCTCACAGGGTTTCGGCTTTAGGCTTCCGGGTTTAGCTCTAGGCTTCAGGGTTTAGGGTTTAAGGCTTGGGGTTTAGGGTTTAAGGGGAGTTCTTGGAAGAGCTACGTATTAGGGTTTGAGAAGCACAACGACAAGAGCGGGAGCAAGAGCCAGCACAAGAGCAAGGGCAATAATGATGGTAGCAACAGTAGTAGTAGTAGTAGT